ATATATCTATTTATCCATATATATATATATATATATATATATATATATATATATATATATATCGTCACAAATAGAACTGCCCGGTAAACCGTAGGCAGAGAGAGAGAAGAGGACAACAAACGAGGGGCTATATATCTTTTTAATTTAAGGCGGAGCCTACAACCGGCTTGAACCCGAGGCCTTTCCCTTACCAAGGGAATGCTCTACCACCTGAGCTACGTGGGCTCACGGGGAAATTAGAGACGATCGGACTTGAACCGATAACTTCATACTTGCAAAACATGCATTCTACTACTTGAACTACGCCCCTGTTGGAAATGGGATTTGAACCCATGATAAAATCTTGTTGTATGTTAATTTAGCAAACCAATGCCTTCAGCCACTCAGCCATACCTCCCAGGAAAAAAGGGGATTTGAACCCCCGACTTCTGCCGTGACAGACCAGCACTCTAATCAACTAAGCTATTTTAGTATTTTTCCATCTGGGTTAAAAACCGGACTTGAACCGCTGACTCTCCCGGTGTAAACGAGGCACTCTACCATGCCGCACAAGCGCAGGCAGACACACCGAATCAAGCGAACACTTGATGGTTTTGTAACAGATCCCCGACACTTGGATTTTTCGTCCAAGCAATCCGGACCTCGCGTTGCGTCCTTCTTATCATTGACCAGTTTCCTTACCTCATCCATCCTCACACGATCATCCGACAACAATCAAACAGCAATTCTAGCCGAAAAATTCAAGCCAAATCATTCAGGAAACCAACGCGCGAGTAAACGTCGAACGTAAGTCCGGGTAGATTTGCATCCGAATTTTTGCACTGAAGTGAACAGACCCGATAAGGATTCAAGATCCCATGTCGACGCTGGACACCCACGCATAAAAGCGAGAGCAGGTTAACCGAGCACCCATTTTTCAGGCCCATTTATAAGAAAACCAGACAGTCATTTTAACAACACTTCACACCAATCCATAAAGTGCACTTCTTACGACCCCATCACAGAAAAGACCCCTAAAAAAAGCAATTAAAAACATATAAAACAGCAAGCCAAAGGTGCATTTCTATAAAATTTGGCCAAAAAAAAACTCGACCAATTTCAGAAATTTCAGAAATCTTAACAGCGCAAATTCTAAAACTCCAAATAACCCCAAATTTCATATACGGCAACCCTATCCAAATGCATATATAGCAAAAACTTGAAATTCCAAAAAAACATGAAATTTGAGCCCAAAACCCTAATTTCAGAAATTTCAGGCCTGAAAACCAGATGCCCCGTTAAAACCACTCATGCAGATGCAGACGAAGCATTCTCTAACAAAAGGCATGTCAATGTAGTCAACGAGGTGCATAATCCGTGCTTGGATGCATGATCGGTGCTCAGTTTGTCAATGAACTCACAATGTGATTGCGATGATCTGCTTAAAGCCTTAAACCACGAATACACCATTGTCCTAGAGACAGTTTTGTACTAGAGTTGGTTTTCGAGATCAGAGGTTAACCATCTATCTACATATGCTGCCTCTGTTCACTCAAGACTTCTGACTATGACTTGAGACCCTACATCAAGAAGGGAAAGGAGGGACATTTGTGCTTCGACTCTTGCTGGATCGCTACTGCTTAAACCACCAGTACCTTGTCCAGCTATTTTTTCTCGACGCGGCCATTAACGCGCCGCGTCGGATGGAGGTCGGCGCAATGAACGACCGGTACAAAAGAAAAAAAAGAAACAAAAGAAAGAAGGAAAAAAAAGAAGAAGAAAAAAAATTCCAGTCGAAGTGCAAATAAAAAAGCAAAAAGAAAACCAACGGGAAAAAAACAGGCCGTCAGGGAGGTGAGGGGGAAGAGAGAGAGAGAGAGAGAGAGAGAGAGAGAGAGAGAGAGAGAGAGAGAGAGAGAGAGAGAGAGAGACAGGGCACTCCGTGCAGCGCGCCGTGCAACTCGCCGTGACTCTCTCTCTCTCTCTCTCTCTCTCAGAGTTCAAATTCGCAAAATGGGAATGGATCTTCCAGCGTTTGTGGAAAGATACATGTCTCTTATACACATCTAGATGTGTATAAGAGACAGGAGAGAGAGAGAGAGAGAGAGAGAGAGAGAGAGAGAGAGAGAGAGAGAGAGAGAGCCGGCTCTCTCTCTCTCAGTTCAAATTTGCAGAACGTGAATGAATCTTCCCATGTCTGCGGAAAGATACATTCCCGTTTTGCAAATTACTGGTGCGCGAAGAAGTCACAGGAGAGAGAGAGAGAGAGAGAGAGAGAGAGAGAGAGAGAGAGAGAGAGAGAGAGAGAGTCACGGCGAGTTTGCCGTGGCACTCCGTGCAGCTCGCCGTGCAACTCGCCGTGACTCTCTCTCTCTCTCTCTCTCTCTCAGAGTTCAAATTCGCAAAATGGGAATGGATCTTCCAGCGTTTGTGGAAAGATACATTCAGGTTTTGCAAATTACTGGAGGGTCAAGAAGTCACAGGAAGGAGAGAGAGAGAGAGAGCCACGGCGAGTTTGCCGCGGCACTCCGCGCAGCTCGCCGTGCATCTCTCTCTCTCTCTCTCTCTCTCTGACGTGCGAGCGGGCCCGGCCCTTCAGCTCGAAAGGAATGCATCTTGCCATCTTAGCACACAAGATGCATTCGAATCTCTCTCTCTCTCTCTCTCTCTCTCTCTCTCTCAACGCGACCCAAAGATGGAAAATGCAAAACGGCCATCTTAGTTTTTCTTTTTTCTTTTTTTTCGCAGAAGAATGTCAATTTTTTATTTTTATTTTGTCTTTTTTGCCCCTTCCGATGTGTGCCTACCGGTAGCCCGAGGCTTGGCAAGGTTCGGGATACCGGTAGGCTGAGCCACGGGCCTTAACAACCGCTAGGTGCTGGTGGTTTAATATGTATTGATGAAAGAGCAGTCACTCCTGAGTCAGAAGGAACCGATGTGACTTGCAGTTCCGCTCCAAAGCTGTATTCTGATATTCCTAACCTCCTACTGCTACTAGGAGCCCGGACAATTTTTACCGGGGTGACATTGTCGACTCGGGAAAGAGGCATAGCTCTCCCAAGGGAATTGATTGACCTTGATGAGATGTGATCAGCTTAGTGGATTGGGTGATGCGAGAGAAGGTTAACCAACCCCCCAATTTTCACCCTCATAAGAAAACCAAAGGGTCATTTTAACCATACTTCACACCAATCTGTAGAATGCACTTCTTACTAGCATATTGTAAAACAAAAACCGAAAAAATAAAATATAAAACATATAAAACAGCAAGCCAAAATTGCACTTTCATGAAATTTCACCAACATTTCAATTTGTCGATTTTCACAATTTTCACCACTGTTCAAAACAACCATCTCCAGGAGCCCAACAAACACCAAACTTGGCACATACAGACCTTGACCAAAAACAAAACAGGCTACACACACACACACACACACACAAAAAAAAAAAAAAAAAAAAAAAAAAAAAAAAAAAAAAAAAAAACCATGATCCCCACTACACTTTTCAGGGTGGTGAAGGTTACTCTAGGGGTGAAAAGTGAGGGTACCTGTTAACCATTTGTGGGTGATGCAGACCTAAGGAGGAGAGTATTCTCAAGGCCTTACATACATTCTGCACGGGAAGAGTTTTGCTTTCTGGACTAATGATCAACAAAATCCTCACATGTGACCTCTCCTTTCCACAAATCTATGGGTATAGATCACTTTCCATATCTCAAATCCCTATCTACCTTATCTGAGATCGTACAGAAACATAAGGCTCGCCATTCAAAGAGAATCTGGCAGAGAGAGGGAGGAGAGAAATCTACACATTGAGCATCCGTATGGTTTCTATCTTGGTGTACTTCTGAGATGATACGAGCTCTCTTCTTCCTCGCGCGTTTTGCTGGTCTTGCTGTATCAAGTCCATCTGGTGCATTTATTTTCTTGTTCTTTTCGAGTCATGCTCAGTTCAAGTCCTTCCCAACTCTCAATCTTTAAATGGTTAAAAAAAAAAAAAAATTGGTGTACTGTCATGCATTTCTTTTAATTTTCTGTTTTCTTTTCATTGCTAAATCTAGCAGCAAAAATTGCTGCAAAATACTTTGCATGTTGCCATCACACTGATGCGGACCAGAATTGAAGGCTCCTAAGACCAGGGGCAAGGTCCCACTTGCGCAAATTTTTTGGATGGAGATTTCGGCCGTTGATCTTTGCTATCTACGGTCAGTATCTCTTAATTCGTGCAAGTGGGACCTAGCCCCAGGGTCAGGCGGAGGTTACAATGGAAGAACCTCAACCTCTCTCTCTCTAAGCCAAACGTGATCGGCAGGAAGGGATACAGTTACAGTTCCCTTTGCATTATCATTTCAATGCAAAACTCAGAAAATTCCTGCGTGAAAGCCCAATGATTAACTGAATAAGGGCGACAACGGCGGACCCTGTACAGGCAAAAATATCAGGCCTCCGTTTTTCCCTTTCCTTTCTTTTCTTTTCTTTTCTTTTCTTTTTGCGTGGAGGTTTGCTGTGCATGGCCAGAGAAGCCCAAACCCAGGCTCCCTTCTCTTTTAAGAGCATTGGCTGTGAAGAGGGGGGGAGGGGGGGAGGGGAGGGAGAGGGAGGGCAGTATAACTGGTTTTTAACGGGCTGAAGGGGTTTAAAGTTAAACTTTAAAAGGCAGTGTTGTTTTCCTTTTTTTTTTTAATCTTTGATTCCATGAGAAATTGTCATGTGACCCTCAGCCAAAAGTCGTTTGTATCGCAATTCCTTCACAACCTATACTTTTATGGATTTCTTTTTTTTTTTTTGCTTTTTTTTTTGGCGCTGGGAATGCCCAGAACCCTGCCTGGAGTTCATGCCCCGCTTGGCACTTGGGTGTGTAACCGGGGACAAGTTGGGTCCCCGGGCGCCTGGACGGAACGTCTTAGGTTTCCATCTGCGGTTAATACTGGTTATATCATGCCCGACTACTGTAATGGTTCAGTTGTGGTCATCATATGATGTCAAATTCCTGTACTCGAGTAAAAGTACAAAGAGAAGAAACTGCGCATGCAATGTTTGGCCACACTCAACAATGAGAAAGAAGGATTGAGCGGCTGAGGCGACAAGCTTCTACACACTGCACCAGTGCATCCAAAATTTAGTCGGACGTACAGAGAAGAACAACTACGACTCATCCGTTTGCCAAGAAAACGTGTACATGACCATCTACAAGAAAGAAAATGGAAACAAAAGGACAGTAAACTGTGCATGAACAGACAGATCAGCTGTTCAACAAAACTCTTCGACTTTCTTGAGCAGCACGATCACGTAGAAAACCAAAAGACAAATGTAGCCATTACAAGTAAAGCTTTTACCGCCAAGCTTTACATCGTGTGAAAGGAAAAATGGGGGGCTCGGCACACCAAAGGCCATACGCATTCCAGGGCTTCTCAGGATGAATCTGACCATATTTATGGCTGATTTCTGTCATGAAGGTCTCACTATAATATTTCTGCATCAATCATCACTGTAGGTGACCGGTAGCAGTGACCGTACACTTCTGAGCCGCAGGTCGTACCACCGAACTGGTCACTCATACACACCCAAGCCACCCGCACCCCCAAGCCTGCCTCCAAGCCTGTTTTTCCAAACATGCCCCATCAGCGCACACTAAGAAACGATGGCTGATTTGGAGACGAACCGTGCAAACATTTTGCACGTAGTGTTACGTACCGCACCGCGCCCGGCAGCAGTCGATCTTGAAACGCATCACAAGCGAAGGGGCACTCCAATGGACTGGCAGTTCAACGCCCAATCATTTTTCTCTAATCCACACGACAACAGGACCGACAGACCAAGATACTGTGATTCGCACTACTGCGCATTCACTGCGTCACAACGTTGTGGCTAAAACACGTATATCACACGAGATCAGGGTTACCTCCGTCTCACCTCCTCCATGTCAACAGAGACTAGATCGATGGACGCCGTAAGACATGTTTACTGCAAGGCAGGCCACGAACAGGAATACCACTCGCAGACAGAACACGTCCGCTGTCACATGACACAGCAAGCAACACTGAGGGGCATACTCACACACGGAGCCCTCTCACAGGACCTCCTCGGTATATCCGACGGCAATCGCTTCCAGATGAGTTGCAAAGAGGCGTAGCGTGAGTACGCCCTAGGATTGCGGAAGCATTTGGCCCGAAAGTGACCGAGGGCCAAGGCATCAGAGAAAAAGTATTTACTGGCAAAGCATCTTCCACACCCAAAGCCCATTCACCACTTTCAATTGCCTGCATTTTCTTACAGAATGCGAATGCCCTGAGGTATGGCTTGAGCCCCTACATGCTGTGCTCGCCTACCCTCATCCTTGAACATGAGCTTCAGAGCTTTCTTTGCTGCACGTGCTTCGCGTCTTTCCTCCTTCACCATAGCCTGCACAACACACCACAAGCCAACAAAAGAAGAACACCTTAGCAGGCCATGGAGGGCGAAAACGAAAACGACATCCTTCCAAGGTCATCCGTGACACAAGAGCTGCCATCAACCCACCTTGCACAGGATAAAAGACTGCAGATGATCACCTACCATGATAGTTTGCCTGGATTCATCACCCAATCAAGTAAAAGAGCAACTAACCCAAGGCAATGAGCTATAAGTGGGAAGGAGTCACCCACACGTGCGCCCCCTCCCCCAACACACACACACACTCTGTGACAACATGAGTTCTCAATCCTTCCACTCTAACACCACTCAGATTGGCGTCACCATCCTTTCACAGCCATACCTGGATGGTACATGAATGGTATACACATGTAAGTTTGTAACTACCAATAGCAATAAACGGGTCAAGAGTTCAAATCCCTAGTGGGGGATCCGCGGTAATGTTAGGGGCTTACTTATGCCCTTTTCGGAGAAAGGGAAGAAAGGGAAAAGAGAGGGGTAATTTTTGCAGTTTCGCCACAGGAAACGGGCAGTCCCATGCACTTGCTTGAACACAGTAATGTTTAGGGGCTCTTCCCCCACTTAAAAAAATAAAAAATAAAAAGGGAGAGAGAGGACAGCTTCCACAGTTTCACCGCACGATTTGCGCGGTCCCATGCCCTTGGTTGACGTTCCACCTGATACCAGACTAAGGTACTTACGGGCTGCACCTTCTACTCCCCCAAACTGTCATCTGACCTTAAAGCACTACCAGTACACCACACATCGGCCTGCGGGTGTCAGCATGAAACCCGCGCCGCTTCTGAGGCCGCCAATTTTTTTTTTTTTTTTTTTTTTTTTTCATTTAGACAATTTGTCAAACACCGTTCTGCTTGTTTTTCCATTTAGACAATTTGTCAAAAAAACATGTTTCATCCTTTCTAGGGGCCTTGCTAGCCTTCACTGGATCACCCAAATTCCAACTACACCCGAATAGAACGCCCCCGGTCATTATAGCTGTATTTGGCGCGCTTTCAGTCCAGATACGGCAATAATTACCCAGCACTCTATTCGGGTGAAGACAGTGGTACCCCGAGAAATTTCATCTCGAACTCTGGGCCTCACTCCACTACATAACACTCTACATGCATTTGGACGTTTTCTGGACCACATACACTAGAAATGTTGAACTCGTCCAAATGCACCTGGTCCAGAAAGCGTCCAGATGCATGCAGAGTGTTGTGTAGTAGACCAAGGCCCTCTTCTTCAGAAAAGTGGATTCAAAGATTACCGAGTACAAAGGCAAGAGTACAAAGGCACATTTTGGTGTCATACACCCACCAGCAGAATTTCACGGATCTGTACGGATTACTGTTCCTTTTTTTTTTTTTCCCCTCCACTTCTTCATCCAACGGACCAGGCCCACGTAATTCAGAATTACTTGGTTCTGTTCATCTACGGATTCGAACTCAGGTCAGCATTTCAACAGTCATGACTGTACCAAGTACTACCAACTGAGCTCGGCCAACTGTTCATCGACGGATTGCTATCCCTTAATGAACTTCTATCTCCTAAAAAAATATTTGCAGCTGAAGACAGTTCCATCCATGAGCAAAAGTTTTTCCATACTTGCCACAGCACCGTGCACCGTACCGTCCAGTGCGCCACACGGTGTGCAGCGCGGCACCTGCTCGTGGGCCGTACCAGCGGCAGTTCCCTTTTTTTTTGTTTTTTTTTTGCTGTTTTTGTAGATACAGAAGAGTGCTACAAACACCTAGTGTAAGGAACTGATCTTTTTCAAGTACAGCCGTACAGATTTTTCTTTCCGGCATGCCCGTCCAATTGGGCATGAGAAATAGCCTCAAAAAGGTGTCTGAGACAACACAGTCTTGACCTTTAGGTAGTGGCATTACCCTCTCACTAGGTTTTTTTTTTGTTCCCCATCCCACAACAAATCTTGAGAGGGGACGCAGGTGATCACTGACCCAGCCATGCGACCCCTTCTTTTCTTTTCCGAGTGAATAATTTCCCCGTGCGCCGCACCGTGCGGGGGTCCGCTCGTGCGCCAAACGTGAGGAATTCCCGCACGGCGTCCGCTTGCGTGTATGCGTTTTTACTTAGAATAGGGCCTAAACTCAGTTGCTACACCATTGCACTGTTGCGATGCGAAACTAGAGTTCGAGCCCCAAAAAAAGAAACCTCCCCCACGCTCTTTGCGGTGAAGGTATTTCTGAAAAATTCCCCAATTAAAAACAAAAAACAAAAAAGTACTGATGGCCACATGTCTGTGAGTACAGCAACCTGGATACCCACTTCCCACCGTTTGCCACACTCTGCTTGGGAAACATCAGTCCTTTGCCACCTTGTTATATCCACTCTTAGTGTGATTGCTATAATATATACTTCCTTAACTACATCCAGGATTTGAACACTTGATCTGTTTTTCCTGACAGTTACATGTCTATTATTCACAGCCACCAGGCAGGGTTTGCTTGGGGACATCTCAAACCATTGATTTCAGGGAAGATCTCAGATCTCACTGATTTCATCAAATGATTAACACAAGGACCCGAACGCTTTCACTAAAATATTGTTTTCCTCCGGAATCTCGGTCTTCTGTTTCAAAATGTGAAGATCGCCACACCCACAACACAAACATTGAAAGTTGAAACACAAAAACAGATCGACACAGATCGTTTCCGGCAAAGAAACATAAATGGCAATATGATGTCCTTGCTGGCAGAGAGAGTGGAGCGACGACGTAATGAAAGCATATGCACATACCTTCCTTGCCTTCCGTTCTTCGGCTGTTTCCCCACCCCTCGGTCCTGCTCTTCTCCCACCAGGCCTTGCGACCTCTTCTGCGTCTGCGCCTCCCTTTGCTTCGGTCTTTACTCCCTCTTGTCCCTTCGCTTCCTTCCCATGAGCACCTCTCTCTTCCCGTTTAGGCAGAAAATCGACAGGAAGCTGCTGCCGACCACCAAGCCGGATGAACCCAGGTGTCACTTGCAAGCTGCCCTTCTCCGCAGAAGAGCCTTTCACACCTTTCTTTTTCGTTCCGTTGCCGGCCCCGATCCTTGCCGGGTGGTTATCTAGGTTAGAATATGTGGACACGATGGTTTCACAGTCCCATTTCTCTCTCTCGTCTTCCTCCTCATACACATCCTCCCATTCTTCTTCGCTTTCGGAGTCCTCCTCTCCTTCTTCCACACCTGCTGCTTGGGTAGCCCTTCCCTCCACTTCGTCAGCTTGTCGGCGGCTGAGGGCCATCTTGGCCCCCAAGTCAAATGTTGAGGGGCTTGTGTGCTCAGAGCTGTGAGCATCTCCTGCTTTCTCTCGAAGATCAGCACCCTCTCCTGAAGCCTCGGCTTTAACATCATCAACCTTCAGGCAATGGTAGGGGCGAAGAGTTGCTTCCGAAGTCGATAGGAACTCCTCCAGAGCTTCAGAGAATTCTGTAATATCTGCATGCCCTCTAGCTTCTGGGTCACCCTCCAGCTCGTCGTCGTCATCCGCATATTCCCGCAGTGTGAGCTATTTAACACGTAAAACGAAACACACACACCCGCACGCACGCCACCCACCCACCCACCCATCCACTCACCCACCCTCACAATTTAAGAGAAGGGAGGAAGGAGGAAGGAGGAAGGAGGATAGAGGATGCCAAAGTGAACCATGCCACTGTAAGCCACTGTTTGCAGACCATCCTTTCTGCTTCTGGCAGGTACTTTCTCTCATCGTTCTTTGAATTTGGACTATTTTCTCACTGTGTGCATGTCATCCTTGCACAGCGGCAATGCTATTCTTCTCTCTATCATTTTGATTTTCACGCATGTCTCGAAGAGACCGCTATCTATCATGCATCACAAACTATGGTTTGGCCAGACAATCATCCAAGTGCTGCTGAGGCAAAACAGCACATCATACCCTTCAAGAGAGAGAGAGAGAGAGAGAGAGAGAGAGAGAGAGAGAGTGTTTGCCTCAGCGGCACTTGGCATCATACCATACCATATCATAGCTCTGAACGGACCCCTGTTTGGTACAAAGGCAACCCATAACTATTAACTGTGCACCTCACCGCAATCCATGGCATCAGTTGTTTCCCTTGAGCTTGTGTCCGTCTTCCGGATTTGATTTGGTGGGAGGTCGAAAAAAGCCACATTGTTCACATCACCAGCGAGAGAACAAATAAAGGGGCAAGCAAAACTGGAGCGAGAAAGCCGTGTCATGATGTGGGTGCGGCCTGCGGCAGGCTACCAACCATCCACGCTGACAGCCATGCCACACAGGTCGGTGTCAACCCTCCTCCACAGATGCGTGGCAGCTGTGTATCATCAACCACTCACAGTGTCTAAGAAATGTATGTTTGCCTATGATACCAGAGTGGCCCGGGACCACTTGCCCAGCCAGACCAAAAAATGCAAAAAAATAAATAAATAATCAATTTATTTTCTATTTTTTTATTTGGCAAAGAATTATGATCCGACCCTGAGGCAAAAGTTGTTCAGTTTATTTTTCTGATAAACAGCGTAGTTTTTCTTTCGGAACTTTTTTATTTTCTTTCTGGGGCCGGTTGGGAAGACAGATATTTGCTGCATTCTCCAACCCCCCCCCCCCCCCCCCCCCCCCCCCCCCCCCCCCCCCCCCCCCCCCCCCCCCCCCCCCCCCCCCCCCCCCCCACCCCCCCCCCCCCGGTCCAAGGCTATCCACCATGGTAACCCCTGACCTGGACACCAGACACTTCTGGACTGTCCTTCCGGACCAGTGTCTGGACCGGTCCGGATTGTCCGGTGATCCGGACAATACCGGACACCCGGACATCACCGGACCCGGGAAGTCCGGACTGGTACCAGGGTGCACAAATGTCCGGACCAAAAAAAAAAAACGGGGGGGGGGGGGGGGGGGGGGGGGGGGGTAGGGGTGTTGGCAGGCACTTACCTGCTCTGCACTTTGTAGTTCAGGCAGCACAGCACGTGTCTTGCAGCAAATGAACAGGCACATTTAACTAGCAGACATGCAGAGTTGCAAACAGTGCAAAGCAGGCACCAGACTAAAGAAACAGATTTTTTTTTTTTTTGAAAAAAGTATGATGAACTTTTGAAGTTTTAACTTTGGATTTAGTAATTTAAGTTCATAACTTCATACACAACTTAAAAGTTCAAACTTTGCAGTTCAATTCAGAACGTCAGAGTCTTCAGACTGGCAGCACTGTCAGTGCTCTCTCTCTCTCTCTCTCTCTCTCTCTCTCTCTCTCTCTCTCTCTCTCTCTCT